CTCTCCAGGCGTCTTGGTTTTCAGAAACCAGCACAGCATGTTTCATTTGTGAACAACTGGAAGAAAGCAGATTTACTGACAAATTTTTTTTAAAAAAAGATTTTTTAACTTTCATTGGCTTTTAATTTTACATAAAGGTATGCCCCCTCTGCCAGATGTAGGAAAGTGCAATGGAATTAGAGTAGCTTAATCCTCAGAATTGCACTGGTTTGCTAGTCTAAAAATATCTCGACTGGCTAAAATGTTGGGCTGAATTAACAAAATATAAATGAGGAGAAAAGAATGTAATATCCCTCACTTAGCTTCAAAAATTCAGCTGCATGAGTGCATTTAGGGGTTTATCTACTAGTAAGTCTACTGGTCCCGGCCCGGTTTCCCCACAGACAGGCCGCTGGGGGTGGGTTCAGGGGGGCCTAGATCACAGCCCCAGCCCTGCCCCTTGCACATATGTATGTTTGGGGCAGGTCACTTCACTGAACCTCAGGGTTCTCACTTGAAAAGTGAGAAAAACAAGAAATCTTTCCCCAGAGATGGGTAAAGATTAAATGAGATGACAAATGTGAAGCACTGATCACTAAGTTCTCACCAAATAAACACCTGTTATTAGGTCATCTGTCTCTGCATGGGCACCACTTTGGAGGACAAACTGATCAGTGGGCTCCACTCAGCTTTTGGTATTTCTGCTCTAAACCAAATCTGTAAGGGTCAATACACTGAAAATGTTAAAGCCAAAAATGAGTTTCTTTGGAATAACTTAATGCACACAATTTGAAGAACCTTGAAACCATTCACAGGGTTTCAATAATCAACTACATATATATATATATATATATATTTTTTTTTTTTTTTTTTGCGGTACTTGGGCCTCTCACTGTTGTGGCCTCTCCCATTGCGGAGCACAGGCTCCGGACGCGCAAGCTCAGCGGCCATGGCTCGCGGCCCCAGTCGCTCCGCGGCATGTGGGATCTTCCCGGACCGGGGCACGAACCCGTGTCCCCTGCATCGGCAGGCGGATTCTCAACCACTGCGCCACCAGGGAAGCCCTATATTTTTAATATATCAGTCGATATCCTTATATCAATCTTTCTTGTAAGTCCCAGGTTGAGTGTCAAGATCACTGCCCCCATCCTCCACCCCTTTGGTAGGCTGGTGGCTAGAAGCATCTCATGGCCCAGGTAGAGTTGCTATCAGTCCTCTTCATGTCTGTTATCTCATTCTTGCTCGTGTTAATATGTTAATTCACATTTCTTTCCTTTTCTCCTGTTTTCTCTCTCTCTCTTGCCCTCTCTCTCTCTGGTACTTAGAGACATTAAGTTTTCAGACTAATGCTGCTACTACTACATTTCCTCTTTATAGTGACTGCCTGGGTTCAAACCCTCTGTTATGTAAATCTTTTAGCCTCCCTTTGCTTCCATTTCCCCATCTGTAAAATGACCTAAAGCAAGAAAAGACCTGCTTCCTGACAGTGTTAGAAAGGGACATCCATTTGTGCTGTGTTCGAGGGCCAAGAGGCACAATGGGAAGAGCGAGAGCTTAGACCTGGAGGTGCCTCCTTCAAATCTCAGCTCAACCATTTTACAGCTGTGTGGACACGAACAGTTATTTCATGTCTCTCGGCCTGATTTCTCATTTGTAACACAGAGCAGCAGACTGTTGCTGCTTACCCCATATCCATTTCCTGTTTGTTTGTTTTTTTAACCAGTAAAACCCTGATTTTGTTTGGAGCTGAAAAGTGCCCAGATAAAATTTTTCATTTCCACTCTCCCATCTGATACTGGCCATGAGCTGTAAGGAGGAACCACCGAGTACAGCTGATAGAAGGCTGTTTCTAAAGGACAGCCTGGGCTGCCACGAGCTTCTCCCTTTGCCTTTTATCCTCTTTCCCCTAGAACCTGGGCACAATGCCTGGAGGGACAGCAAGCCACCCCGTAACCGTAAGGTGACAAACGTGAGGATGAAGCCTATACGCTAAGGATGGCTGAACAGAAAGAGGAAAACCCCTCCTCTAATCGCCTCACAGGGTTCCCAACAAGCACTGGGCTGCCCACCTCCAAGCTTGCAAAATAAGTTGCAATTCAAATAGATCCCTATCTTTTAAGTCTTTGTTGGTCAGTTTGTCTGTTATTTGCAGTCAGACTCTTCTCAAAACAGGTACCCAGGGCTTCCCTGGTGGCACAGTGGTTGAGACTCCGCCTGCTGATGCAGGGGACACGGGTTCGTGCCCCGGTCCGGGAAGATCCCACATGCCGCGGAGCGGCTGGGCCCGTGAGCCATGGCCACTGAGCCTGCGCGTCCGGAGCCTCTGTTCCGCAACGGGAGAGGCCACGGCAGTGAGAGGCCCGCGTACCGCAAAAAAAAAACAACAACAGGTACCCACAGGAACTAAAATGATACTTGCTTCCCAGGATCCCTGTGACAATAAAGTAGGTTAGGTACCTAAAGTGTTTAGCGTGATTCCTGGCACATGGCAGACTTCCAATAACAGTTGTTTTTTTTTTAATTGGCGTATAATTGCTTTACAATGGTGTGTTAGTTTCTGCTTCACAACAAAATGAACCAGTTATACATATACACGTTTCCATATGTCTTCCCTCTTGCGTCTCCCTCCCTCCCACCCTCCCTATCCCACCCCTCCAGGCGGTCACAAAGCACCGAGCTGATCTCCCTGTGCTATGTGGCTGCTTCCCACTAGCTATCTACCTTATGTTTGGTAGTGTATATATGTCCATGCCTCTCTCCAATAACTGTTTATTCCCTTCTTCCCTTTCCCATCATCATATTTTGAATTCTCCTTGATATGGGTAATTATCAGAGCTACTGGGGGGCCGTCTCAGATATTTTGCTCTTAATGTGTCCCTAAGTGTGAGTTGCCCAACTGAACGTGATCCCACAGTCTAATGTCACATCCCAAAGCACATGATTCTAGGCTGCCTTCCTAGAGCAGAGTCCCAGCAGAAGGGACACTAAAGGTCAGGCATTCTCTGCACTAGTACAGGGCATTTATGATAAAGTCCAACCTCCATATTTCACGACCGAGGTCCCTACTGAGAAAAGGGTCTGAAAACCACTGTCATGTTGGTTATCTTTATATGTGTAGCTTAAAAAAGCAAAGGTACAAGGGAAACACGGCAGCTTTCTTCAAATATCACTTAGGCCCCTGGGGGGACTTGGCCAAGTATTAGCTGTGTGGACTTGGAAACAACAGCTTCTGAAAACTCTTCCAGTTCTAGATGAGATGCATTGTGGATCACGGGCTTTGAAAGGATGACCATGATATATTCTCAGCAAGTGTTTAGTGAATTGACTAATTAATTAATGAGTTAGGTATTTAGTCCTGATGTTTCTATGGGTAAATGCAGCTTGAGTCCCAATACCCAACTTATTGGTGAGAATATACCCTGTGTGAAATGGGGGTCACCTGGCTTTGGGGTCATCTGAAATCCAGCCTCTCCCTGATGAGCCCCTTTCTGGGACTGTCCAGGGAAAACCACCTTGAAGGGTCAAGGCCTACAGCCTTCCCCAGCCCAATTTCAAAGGCAGTGACTATATAACTTAAATTGCATAGGCCAGAAGGACTGGTTTATGCTCACTTTTCTGAGACAGTTGTTTTATTTCAGCTGAGTTAGCATCACACATTTTTGGCATCTCCTCCAAGAAGTCTATTCAGTAGGCCAGAAGCATATGAAATGGAGCCTTTGCTCTCAGAAATGGCATACTGACTGTACTTAAAGTTATTAAATCTTGAATGAATGGAAGAGAAAATGTCATACTCTTACCAGCGGAGAAGAGAAAGCACACACAAAATCTCCTAATGTGAAGACAGCATGTTGGGAAATGAAGCTAAAGGGAATTTTTCATTACCTGTATCTGGGTTTTATGTTATAGTGAGAAGTACTGCCTACTACAGTTGGTTTTATGTACACCTCCTCTATAACTACCTAAGGACTCCATTGGGCAAAAATTTATCAAATATCTTGGTTTCTAGTTAGTAGATTTGTGGCAAACATCAGTGACCAAAAAAAAAAAAAATCTGAAGTATTTCCACCTACTTGGATGCAGTAAATGTTCCCTTCTCAAATTCAGGTTGAAAAGAAGGAATTCTCTGATGGAAACAATGGAATGAGTTCTCTCACTTTTTATTTTTTGACTTAGACAACACATTCATTTTATTGAGGACTCAGCATTAAGTTTGAAGTTCCAAACATTGGAACTCATTTTTTTTTTTTTTTTTTGGAACTCATTTTTGAGGTGATATTGGAAAATAGCATCACACTTTTTAAATGAACTTTTTCCACTACCCATAAAAGTCAGCTGAAACTTTTCCCATCATTCTTCATTCCTATGCCCTGCCCCAAATTTACCTTTCTATTCTCAAATTTCAAATAAAACCCTCTTTCACAAATGATGAGAAATTTTGAAAAATGAAATTAAGCCACATGACTTTGGCAATGAGGGGAAGGATGAGGTTCTCCTGTATGCTTTCATTATGACTTATTTGGATCATCTAAAAAGCTCTGCATTTTTCTCTTTTTAAAATTTAAAAAAAATTTTTAAAAAGTAAAAAAATATTTACAATTTTAAAAGGTTACACTCCATTTACAGTTATTACAAAATATTGGCTATATTCCCCATGTTGTACAATACATCCTTGTAGCCTATATGACACCCAATACCTCTGGGAGTTTGTACCTCTCACTCCCCCACCCCATATTCCCCCTCTTGCACTGGTAACGACCAGTTTGTTCTCTATATCTGTGAGTCTACTTCTTTTTTGTTTTATTCACTAGTTTGCTGTATTTTTTAGGTTCCACATGTAAGTGATATCATACAGTATTTGTCTTTCTCTGTCTGACTTATTTCACTTAGCATAATGCCCTCCAAGCCCATCCATGTTGCCGCAAATGGATTCCATTGTGTGTGTGTGTGTGTACACATATATATATGTCTCACATCTTCTTTATCCATTTATCTGTTGATGGACACTTAGGTTGCTTCCATACCTTGGCAATTGTAAACGATGCTGCTGTGAACACATGTGAAGGCGCAGGCAGGGCATTGTGCTAGGTGCCGCCCATATGAAGGCAATTAAACAGGAGTCCTCCCAACAGTGGAATCTAGAGTTAAGTAATGAAAAAAAAGTAGTCCGTTTATTCCAACTCCCTTAAACTGGTTAGAGGTATTCACTCATTTACTCACTCATTCAACAAATATTTATTGGGCATCTTCTTTGTGCCAGGCATGAAGGAAGTAAAAAATAAAAAGGTATCTAACCCAGCCTGAGAGAGAGGGTGGCTAATGCTTCTAGGAGTTACAGACTTTGTTTAAGCTGAAAGATGGATGGGAATTATCTAGATCCAGTTAGAAGAGGGTTTTTCAGGCAGTGGAGATCTGTAAAGTGGGGTGTGAGGGGACCAAGTAAGGAGTGGCAATGGATAAGGGTGAGGAGTTAGGGCCAGAAGTTGGAGCAGCTTGAAGGCTATGTAAAGACTTCCAGACTTTATCCCAAGGCGGAAAAGGAGCTCTTAAAATTTTTAAATTTACATTACAAAAAGCACACAGGCTCTGTACAATACACACGAACAGAAGTAAAAAGAGTACATTGTATATCTTCTACTACAACTTGACGGTGCAAGAGTTACTGCCTTTTAAGTATATAGTGTATCTAAAAAGAAGGAAAACAATAATTTTTTTAAAAAATTAATGCAGATTGTATCAATGTCAATCTCTTGATTGTGATACTGTACGAAAATTACGCAAGATATTACCATTGGAAGAAATCAAGTGAAGGGTATTATTATTACTATTATTATTTCTCACAACAGTATGTGAATCTACAAAGATCTCAGAACAAACGTTTTTTTAAATGCACCACACACAAAAATAAAGGCAAAGACATCTTCACGGGAAGGAGAATATTGATATAGTAAAACAACACAATGGAACCCACTGATAGCTTCTGAAAACCAATGGAAGCAATTCATCCTATGGAGCTTTAGAGGTGACTAAAGGTTCAGCAGTGGGTCTGTAATCTGCATTTTCATTGCAAAAAAATCCTGGGAGTGATCAGAGCACTGATACAGGAAGGAAAAATGGAATGGCTCAGAGAGCAATGGAATGTTACTAAGAGGAGTAAGATTGTGTGGTTGGGGAAAGAGGTGGCTGCTGGACTATGATTCCTAAGTGGGTTTAGATGTGCCCAACGCCCAGCTTACTAGAAATAAATTTATGTTCTTTCATTGGCTATTGTAGGATACAGTGCTCACCAGTGGCTTCCTCTCCTGCAGGAACCTCCAGTGATGTTTCTAGCAATGTTCCTTGGATACATATGGACACATGATAGAAACCGCGTAACAAAATAAACATAAATATGGAGTAGGACATGCTCAGGTCCTAATATTCAATTCATAAGACAAAACATCCTATCACAAACAAGTCAGAGCTTACCAGCCTCTGGAAAGGTTTTTAACAGTGGGAGTGATATAATCAAACTTGTCATTTAGAAGATCCCTCTGGCAGTGGTACAGACTACTTATTGGAGGGGGTGAAGATTCAACGGAGAAACAGTAAGGACTTCCACTCAAGGAACAGGGGCAATGGAGAGGAGATAGATTCCAGAATTATTAAGGAAGCAAAAATCTCTATCTCAACCATAAGAAATCCCCAGTAGAGCTTGGCCCTTGAATCTGCCGGGGTCAAATTTGGCTGTAAAACAGAAAACTCAAAATAACAATTGTTTAAACAAGATAGATGTTTATTTCTCTTATAAAAAGAAGTCCAGAGACATCAGTCCAGATGTGGTCTGGCGGCTCCAGTGTCACTGCGGAGTCAGGTTCCTCTTGTTCTTCTGATCTACCTTGCAAGTACATAGCTTCTGTCTTTAAAGTTACCTTTTGGTCCGAGATGGCTGCCAGAGCCCATCTAACTGGTCCACATCACTGGTAGTGGAAAGGAAGAAGGGAGAAAGCTGAGCCATCAACTTCTGCAAAGGCTTCTCCAGATCTCCACACATATTGATGTTTATATCTCACTGGCCAAAACCAATGGCTATACCTACTAATGAGGATGACAGGAAAATAATATATTCCAGCCCTGCTATCATTACCAGAATATCTGGAATGGATATTTGATGGATACTTAGGAGTCTCTGTCATAGCCATCAATCAAGTGAGACACAGAGAAGGTGAGAATATCCTAGCCCTCCAGGGGATGAGTCACGGAGTTTGTTGGACACTGTGATGTGCCAGCCAGGTCTCCTTCCATGAAGGACTTTTGCCTCAGCTGCGGAGAGCGTTGTCAACAGACAGCTTTCATCTGTCAGCCCCTTCTGAGAGCCTCCGCACCCAAGGAGCCTAGACAGCTTATGTTCAGTGACCTTCAATACAGGAATATAAGATGGACATCTTCATCCAACTAAGGACAACTCAGAAGAACTATGCTAGCTCCAGCTCTTTCCTTGGAGTTGGCTAAGGCTACTGTCGGGTTACACTGTAGTTTGAATTTTCAAGCTGGAATCTAAACCCCACAAAAAAACCCAACAAAGTTCCCTTCTCTCGCCACAAATTTCTCTCTTTTTTCCAGAAGTGACTCCTACTTCCTTGCCCTCCCTTCCACAGCATGGATGCCACGTTCACTCTTTAATAAACCTCCTGTGTGCCAACCTCCAACTCAGAGTCCACTTCTCAGGCCAGCCAGTGTGGCAAGGAGGGAGGATGTATCTACCTGAAGTGTCAGAAACTCTGGAAGGAGGCGAAATGTTCACATTTATTGAAAGCAGAGTGGGCTAAAAAGATGGAGACATGCTGCTGCATGCACATTTCCTTTTTTCTGTCTCCTGCTTGCTTCTCATGGCTGTCAGTGCGCATGTCTATAGCATCCATTACATCGCTTCCAACGTGAAACTATCCATTTAGGTTTGGATAACCAGATCCTCAAACTTGTTAAAACTGTGTGTAAAGAAAAGAAAATGGCTGTTGGGTGAGAGCTGGGTCTTCCTAGATGGAAAGTGCCTGAGTGCCCACACGGTAGGACTTCCACTACCTCCAGCTACACTTATTAGAGCCTTTTGTAAAATTTTTATTTTTTGATTTCTTTCTTTGTTCTTGGCTAGGTTCCAGATAGGTAAGATGGGACTCTAAATGCAATAAATAAGAGAGGGAAAAATTACTCCAACTTTGTGGCATTTTTGGTTCTAACTCAGAAGCCAATTTTCCTTACTGTGTCTGGAGCTTATAGAATTTAGCCTAAAACAACCTGTCATCATAGACACCCCTTCCTCTGGCATTCCATCTGCCCATTTGTGAAAGCTGGTCCATACAAATGTTCACTCAGGATGAAAACAGACCACCTGGGCACCCAGTTGTGTGTGAGGGGTGCTCATGACCTTGGAGGAAAATGTCCCAGAGGGGCCAGAACTGCATTATCACCCAGTTCTCAGGCAGGGAGTCCTACCCCCAAAACACTCGCTCCTCACCAGTGTGTACAGGGGACCGGCAAACATTACACTGCACCCAAAACTTCATAGTCAGAAATGTTTTTTCATTTCCATGACTCAGAGCAAACGTTATTCATATAGTGCCTCTGAATACACCCACTTCTGGAAGAAAAGAGAAATTTGTGGCAAGAAAAGATAACTTTGCCATCATGTCTTCCCGGAGTTTAGATTCTGGGTTAGGAAGCATAAGCTGCTAGTGACACAAGCCTGCGTGCTATGTGGCTTTTGAGGTTTGCCTACTCACAGATCTCTCTGGCTCTTCCCACTTGTCTCTGTCAACAATTGACACTGCGGTACTTATTTATCTGGATTTTTAAAAATTGGATTTGTCATAGCACCTTTGCTCACAAAAGCACTTTTCAGGCAAGCAGTCCATAGCAGTTTCCTCCCAGTTTATTTTAGGGAAAAGTGCGAGAAGATCCTCTTCCTTTGAAAAACCCTAACTAAACTCACACAAGTCTGTAAATATATTTTCTCAGAGACTTTTATTCATCTTTGAATCTTCCAGGGTCTGACACCTGGAGTACAATAGACACTAAATGTTTGTTGAATGAATAAATGAATGAGTGAATGAAAGAAACAAATGACAATTACTGCGTGAATAAATGAATGTGAGCTCAAGAAGCTTACTGGTAGGAGGATAAAATTCGTTCCTGAAAGGTATAACACAGGAAAGACTGGATGCTGTGAGAAGGTGGGAGGGAATGATCACATCAGGTGAGATGAGTGATGTTCAATCAGGCTGTATCTGGTAGAGTCGCCAGGAGGGCTTTACAAATCACAGAGCCCAACCTGTTAAATCAGAATCTTTCAGGGTGGACCCAGGCACTGGTGTTTTTTTAAAGCTCCTCAGGAGATACCAATGTTCAGCCAGAGTTGAGAGCCACTGGGACATGAGGATCAGAAAGAGATTCATAAAGGAAGTGGTTTTTTAAAACAACCTTTAAGGATGGATAGAGTTTTGACTTGTAGAAATGAGCAGGAACTAGGGAAGATGTCCTGACCACCCCTCCCTCCCAACCACAATTCCAGACTGTCTATCCTACCTAATCCAGACAGATGCTGGCAACCGGTAAGGGGGCGCCTGTGCAATTAAATGACTTTTTTCCCCTCTGGGCCATCTAAGAGCCTGGCCACTAGTGTCTGAAGGACTCAGGTGAGGGTCTGAACACTGAGGATCTTGGGGGAGCTGGCCTGAGGGGCTGCCCACCCCAGGGCATGTCTGTATCTACTGGTATATTCCAACTCAAGAGCTGAAAAGGGAAGTTAGTGATTTCATCCTTGAGGTTGGGAGCTCATGAAAAGATGGGAAACCTAAAGTCTTCCTTCCTGTGGTGACTTCACAGGGATCTGACAACCCACCGTTTGCTCCACTGGCAGCCCCTGCAACAGAGACCACAGGGCCTTCCACTACTCTCAGGAGTGATGCTGCAGAAGGCTCTTAACAACTATACCCAAACCCCAAGGATTAAACAAAGAAAAATAATACATCAGAGAAGGACAACAGCTAGAGAGAGAGCAATAATAAACAAAGCAATCAAGACACAGAAAATAAAGATCTGTAAGCTTTTAGAGCTACTGGAGGAGATCGTCTACAAACTATACAAAAAAATAACAGTAATA